TTCCACGAGGGAGCCCTGGAAGAGGCTCCAGGCTCCTGGCTCTGGATTGGCTCAGCTCTGGCTGTTTCACCTGCTTGGGGAGTGAACCAGCACATGAAAGATCTTTCTCTCTGTCTTTTCTTCTCTCTGTAGGTCTGATTTTCCAATAAAAATAAATATCTTTTAAAAGTATATAATATTTAACATAAGACACATAAATGGATATGAGGCCCAGCACAGAGAAATCTATGAAGATATAAAGTCAGCTGGAGGTTTCTTAGGATTGGTGGGAGAATGAAATAGGGAGATGAGAATTAAAAGGTGCAGAGTTTGTTCTGGAAGTGATGAAAATGTCCTAAAATGGATTGTGGTGATGGTTGCTCAAGTCTGAACACACTAAAAACCGCTGAACTGCATATTTCAGGCGGCTGAATCATGAGCCGCACGATGGTCTTCTTCAGCAGCAAAGCATCTCCTTAGATGGACACATGGAAAATCCAAAATACACGTATCAGCACTGTCACATTGATTCCTAACCATCACGACTAGTGGGCAGCAGGTTAAGGCCCAAACCCAATCAAGTCCGAGAAGAAAACACTACTTCATAACTCTCCAGCGTGATAACAACCCAGGCCTCAGGTCAAACACTGGTGCTATTCTCAGTGTCAAGAACAAGAAAAAGGGGTCAGTGTGCCAACATGCAGGTTAATTTACTGCTTGTCACACTGGACGTGCAAGCCCTGGCTACTCGCATATTAACCTGGCTTCCTACCTGGAGGCAGTGGAAACCTGGCCAAGTACTGGGCACCTGTCACCGACACTGGAGATGGGACAGAGTTCTTAGCTTCTGGCTTCAGATGACCCAGCCCTGGCATTTGCAGTGAACAACTGGACAGATGCACTTTCTGCTGCTTGTTCTCTGTCTCTCTCTTTCCCTTTCAAATAAATAAGCTTTAAGCACACACACACGCACACACACACACACACACACACGATTCCATGAGACAGCCATGAATATGGATATTGTGCTTCCTAGAAATCCAAGAAAGTGTCCACAAATCGGGGTTCTCAAGCGGCATATTACCCAGGTGAAGGAGTGGAGATGCAAGCTCACAAGCAAACCCAGAAATGAGCTCGCTCCCGGTTTGCAGGTCTTTGCACCAGCCCAGCCTCTTGGCTGAATCACAAAAATACCAAACGTTAACCCTTGGCCATGAGATTCCTCTCCTCATTCATACGATGCTTGCCTGCCCTTCACCAACATCCCCCAATGCCCAGGAATAACCTACCTCCCTCAGCATCAAACTAACTCCCAATTCCTGTGCTGATGTAGAACTCTAGCTGCCCACAGAGGCAAACACAGAGCAAACATGACGGTCTACAAGCTTCCAAGGCAGAAAGGGCTGGAGGTGAGGGAAAGTAGGTGACAGCTCTGTTGCAGAGTCAACATCCACACAGCTGGTATGAGCCCCACATGGCCCCGCAGGTGTCTGCTCCTGGGGTGTGCAACATCCACACAGGAGGCTGGTATGAGCCCCACATGGCCCCGCAGGTGTCTGCTTCTCATAAAACCCAACCAACAAACACCAGACTAAACTCTCCCTACCCAGCTCCAAGAGAAACAACTTCTCTTTTCTCAGTGAGATGTGCATGAAGAAACTAAACCCTTCATTAACTTCCTCTGATGAAAATATTCCTTAAGGGCAGGATAATGCTGATGAAAGCCTTATAAACTTTCACCAAGTATTCACAGCCAAACTGAAAAGCTTGGTTTTTAAAAAATCAATATTTTTTAATAGAGCTTCACTTTTAGCAACATTAGAAGTGCTAAAATAGCATGAGTCAATGTTTTCCAAAATTCTTACACTGTACGGTTGAAAGATTCATAATCAATTCCATGAAGAACTATAAGTCACTGACAATCATTAGTTATTCCTACTTAAGCAGCCAAGACAAGTCAAATGCTCAAAGGCCATTTTGTAGACTATCTCAGGACATATTCTAATACCTTAGATCCTACAGCAGGCAATGCATGCTCGCAGTGAAAGCCATGAGTCTGGAAATCAAATGTATTCCAGTATTTATGGGAATGGCATTGTGGTGCGGTGTGCAAAGGCCCTCCCAGCAAAGCCAGCATCCCATATCGGCATCCCATGCTCTGGCTGCTCTACCTCCAATCCAGCTCTCTGCTAACAGCCTGGCACAGCAGTGGAAGATGCCCTTTGTCACCTAAGTGGGAGACATGGATGAGGTTTCTGGCTCCTGGCTTCAGCCTGGCCCATTCCTGGCTGCTGCAGCCATCTGGAGCCTGGACTAGTGGATGGAAGGTGCTTCTCTCTGCCTCTCCCTTTCTCTGTGTGTGACTCTTTCAAATAGATAAATAATTTTAAATATATATTTAATATTAAGTATTATCTGTTTAAGCCAAGTCATCTTACATACAACTTCAAATAGAAAAGTTAGTATCTGTCTAATTTATTCCCATCCAGCTCACTGTACATTCCTATACTTAGGCCTCTCCTCTTCCCTCACCCCAAAAAAGTGCAAATGAAATTGTACCACAGGGAGCTACTTGGGACCTCTTGGATTAATACAACCAGTCTCAACCGTCAGCTCTCAGTCTTGACTGAACAGATATTGAGGCCCCATTATCAAAGCTCTTAAAAATTCTCCACTTTGGGCCCGGCAAGGTGGCACAGTGGTTAAGGTCCTCGCCTTGCACGCCCGGGATCCCATATGGGCGCCAGTTCTAATCCCGGCAGCCCCGCTTCCCTTCCAGCTCCCTGCCTGTGGCCCGGGAGAGCAGTCGAGGACGGCCCAAAGCTTTGGGACCCTGCACCCGCGTGGGAGACCCAGAAGAGGCTCCTGGCTTCAGATCGGCATAGCATCGGCCGTTGCACTCACTTGGGGAGTGAATCATCAGACGGAAGATCTTCCTCTCTGTCTCTCCTCTCTGTATATCCGCCTTTCCAATAAAAAAAAATAATAAAAATAAAAATAAATTCTCCACTTCCACAAAAACCAGGACATTTAGACAAAGCAAAGATCCCCACCTTACACTCTCACCTTTAGATGTGCACCAATGGGCACCAACATTGGAATTAAGCAAAAATATAACTTGAAAACACACCAACATTTAGAAAGAAAAATAAGTCTAACTCTCATATTCTTACACATTTTTTAAAAGTCACTATTCCAATAGAAACAGCTAGAGAAAGTGTGAAGAAATGGAACTAGTGTTAGCAGTGCAGGAGTCCAGCAATTTTAAGGATATTCACAAAGCTGTGCAATCATCACTCTAAAATGAAACTCCAGATACATTAACGGTCGTCCCCCATTCCCCCCATCCCCCGCCACCTGATCCTGCTCAGGTCTCCACAGGTGTGCCTCCTCAGCAGGGTTCCACACAAATGCAGTCACACCATGAGGCTTGTTATGAATGACACGCTTCCTTCAGCATCAGGCATTCATGGTCCACCCACACTGCAACAGGCATCAGTGCCTCCTTTCCTGTCATGGTCAGATAACAGTCCATGGCCTGGACGGACCACAGTTACCAGCCCATTCATCAGCCAAAGGACATCTGAATTTCCTACTTTCTTGGAGAATGCCGTGAATGAGTTTTGGCGTAGACGTACGCTTACATTTTTCTTGGTTAATCACACCTCGGGGCGGCATTGCTGGGTTATTTGGTAACCTTTCGCCTTCTAAAGTAGCTGCATCATTTTTTTTTTATTCTTATTAGCAAAGTCTGAAGGCTTCAATCCCTCTACATCCTTGCCAACATTTATTTACTATCCTTTGTACTGGCCATCCCAGTGTGTGAAGTGGTAATTCACTGTGATTTAAGTTCTGCATCTTAAAACAAGCCCACTCATGGAAAGACTCGGCGAGTCTTCTAAGCTGCCCTTTGTAGTAAACAAACAAAAAAATTCATACACACACAGCACTCCTAAAATCCAAAACAAAGCCAGCATCGTCCAGTATTCCATTAATAAATGAAGGCAACCCCTTCAACATAACATTCAGCATGACTCTTCCTCAAATCCTTGCCAATGACAGTAGTATTCACCAGTCAGACCTTTCTAGATAAAGCTATCGGGCCAAGTAGCTCGGACATGCGCTGATGCAACGTCGAAATACTTAAACAACAAGATTTTAGCAGAGCTTTCAAAAAAAAGGTTCCTGCTTGATTAGAATGTGGATTTGTCAATAATCTATGTGAAACTGATCAGTCACTGTCCCAGAACACCCTCTGGAGTTATTGCCAAGCACTCAGTGACACTTGAAAAGCGTGCTAACTGAACCAAACAACTGGTACACTCAGCAGCCTGAATTGGATGAGCAGATGGGCAGGTCTAATTTCCAGCACTTCCCGGCTCTGACCACATGTGCATTATTTAGCATCTTTATATTCCAGTTTTCTGATTGGAAGCTGATTAACCATGCCTGCTCCTAGAAGTTATGAGGAGCCAGCAAACCAGCACGGCCGAGGCTCCGGATACAGTTGCCGACAGAAGTCAGACTCCTCATAACACCGGCTTCCACCCATCCTTCTGTGAACTCTGGGCAAAGTTTTCCAGCAAAGAGAGAAATGCTATGTACTACTGAGAGCTGAATCTGCACCCCTGTGACCTGTTGGGGTTCCCTTCGGATGCAACACACACACACACACACACACACACACACACACACACAATGGTCTGCAAACTGCTGAGGACAGCTATGAACAGGTTGAAAACGAGGCTGGGGGTCGGGTTGGGATGAGATTCTTGGGAATCCCGAGACGAAAACAAGGCAGACCTTGTCTTTGTTGCTGGTAGTGGTGATGCTTATCCCCCAGTGTTCACAGACAACCAGGCACAGCACGGAGGGGGAGATGAGGAAGGGAGCAGGACCCCAGCGGGTAAGGGTCCAGGGAGGGCTGGCCAAGCCCTGGGTGGGGGGAGGGGAGCAGAGGGGGCTGGCTCTGTGTGTGGGGAAGATGCTGCCCTTGCATCTCTCTGCCGCCCGTCTCCTACCTGATCTGGTTATCGCGGAATTTGTTGAGATGCGGTTGGTTGAGGTAAATGGTGCGGGCCGGTGCCTCCAGCTGGTCTCCAACAGACGTGGCCCGGGACATCTCATCCTCTGCCTTCTTGTAGCCGGAAGAGCGAACGGGTCCTTCAGAGATGAAGCGCAGGGCGGACAACACAACACAAAGGAAGAAGTCAGCCAGAAAGCCGAGAGCGGCGGAGAGAGCGCGCGCGCGCGCAGGGGCGGACGGCAGGTGACTGGCGGGGACCAGCGGGAAGAGATGCTCTGGCCAGGAGGCCCAGACCTGGGGCGCCTATGTACCTTGGCCGCCCCTAGAGACGCTTGCGGCCGCCGGCAGCCCCGCCCCGCGTCCCGCCCCGCCCGCCACGGGGTCGGGCAGGGGCTGCGGCGTGCGGTGCAGCCGGGGGCTGCGGGGCGGTGGCGGGAAGGGACACTGCAGGGCGCAGCCCCACGTCGCCAGGGCCCACTCAGCGCCCGCCCGCCCGGCTGCAGCTCGCACCCTGTGCAATCCCACAGGGAGCAGCCGCCGCCCTCCCTCCCTCCCTCCCTGGAGGTGCAGCTTGGCTCCACCGGGCGCTGGCGTTTCACCGACCCCGGCGGGCGGATGCGTTGCAACTCAACTGTCAGGGATGCGACATAAACCAGCCTGTCCTTTTCGGCTCTGATGCCGGTCCCGCAGTCAAGGCTCTCGGGGTGAGCTAACCCCCACGCCCACCCCCATAAACCTTCACTGAGGAGGTGGCAGAGTGGAGAAAGGTACACGCCCGAGAAAAAGCTGCCAGGCACGCGCGCGACCCTGAACTTCATCTGCTAAAAAAGTGTCCCCTCCACTGACGGCCGACCCTCCTTGAGATGTGACCTTCCGGGCTATGTGTCTTAGGTAAAAAGATCTCAGAAAAATAGAAGCCTCTGCTTTTTGGTTTTGTTTTTTTCTTTAAAATATATTCCTTCTACTATATCTAGTGTTTACCGCCTATCGAAGAAACCAACGCGTTGCCTCCTATTTTAAAAATGGACACCTCCTCTGAATAAATCTCAGCTTCCCAGCTACAAACAACGCTGTTGTCTTAGCGAAAATTGGAAGACAATAATGTGGATGAGTTTTTTTGTTTTCGTTTTCGGTCTGGGTATTGTTGTTGCTGTTATTGTTTGGTTTTTGAGCGGCAGAAGCACAGAGTTCCCCCGTCCTCTGCGTCACTCCCCATAGGCCCACAATCCACAGAAGCTGGCGCTGGGCCAGGCAGAAGCCAGAAGCCAGGAACCCAATCTAGGTGTCCCCCAGGCGTGGCAGCGACCCCGGCACCTGAGCCACCACCTGCCGCCTCCGGGGTGTGCAAAAACAGCAAGCCGAAGCAGAGCCAGGAACTGAACCCAGGAGCTCCCAATTATGGGATGCAGGCATTGCATCCTGAGACTTAACCATCAGCCCAAACCACATACCCCCTAAATCATCTGTTAAAGCGATTGTAAGAGTGGCCACCCTTATTATAACAACAAAGATGTAAAATCAGTTGTTGAACGCCAACATAATACCTTCAATAGTAAGGATAAGTAAGAAATCACCTAGGACTCTCAGCTCACTCTTGGTAGCTGCAGGCCCCCACCAGCTGGGTCCCTGGTCCCAGGCCAACCATGCACCAGCCTTCACCCTGGCTATACACCTCAATGCAGAACCAAATCCCCCACCTGCTCCCGAGGGGCTTCCACGGTCTGGGCTGACCCCACTGGCCATTGCTCCGCTCTCTCCCCCACCAGTAGGGGAAGCAGAGAGCAAGGCCCCTACCTCCAGGCAGGCTCATGGGTTTCACCTGGAAGGAGGGGTTGTGAGGAGCAATTGCTGATTCAAGGCAGTTGGCGGGTATTTTTGCAACTCGCTTACATAAGAAGCATTGCTTTATTCTCTGTCCACCCATGCAGCCTTGCTTGCCTCCAAAGCAGTAAGCATCATTACTTGACATTATTTACTTAAGAGCTGGTTCCCTGACCCAGGAGCATCAGCTCCAAGACAGCAGGGACAGGCTGTGTTCATGGCAGTGGCCTCAGCTCCCACCAGTGCCTGGCACAGCATGAGTACTACCTGAGTCCTGACTAGAGTTCCTTGACTTCTACAGGGAGAGATACTGTGATAAGACAGAGGGCCCAAGCTACAGACAGGAGTGAGCTCAAACGGCTGTCTGCCTGGGTGGCGTCCACTCCTCCCGGGAGTGTCCCCCTAGGAGTGCTCTAACGAGCTTCTGGCCCACACTCACAGATGCTGAACGCTACTGCTGTGTTTTGGTTTCTGAAGCTCCTTAAATGATCTGAATGGGAACCACAGTTGAGATTCACTAGTCAGATGCTGCTGGAGACTGAGGAACAAAATATCTGAATTTTATCTTCAATAACGTCAACCAGTTTAAGATGCCAAGTCATCACCATGGTTCTGGTCACGGTGATGGACTGGGGCATGACCGTTCATAGCCGAGGGACCAAGAGTGGGCCCGTGGGACCTCCAGAACGTGGGAGGTTGGCAGCCACCATGTGCAGCTGATTCTGGAGACAGCGATGAGACCATGCCATACAGGTGGGTTTCTGCCAGGACAGGAGAAGACACTGTACCGGTGACAAAAGTCTAAACAAAATTACAGCAAGAGCCAATTCAAAAGAATAAAACGAAGCCTTGGGGGTCCAAATCAGATGGGCAGAGAGGAAGCAGCAACCTGCAGACAGCCTTTGGGTGAACGGGGCAGGCCTGGACCCCATGCGGAAGGTCAAGGAGCTGGGGACAGTGCGTGGGACAGTGGAGCGCCTGGCAGGGGTGCAGGTGGGCAGCGCAGGGAGGAGGCTCTGCCGTCGAGGAGATCAGGTAAGCAAGTCGTCCCATCATCCAGAAGCCAGATGATTAAGGCAAGAGGAGGGAAAATGGGGAAGCTACAGGCACACGAAACAGTGCAAAGAAAACCCTGCACGCTGCTTTTTTTTTGAGGGGAGGGGATGTTAGTTATTGAACGTATAGGCCAAAAACCTGGAGTTTGAAAGAAACTGGGCCTAAAAAGCGCCCATGACAAACATAAGAATGGAAATGATACTTTTCCAAATCAGAACTCAAACATGGGATAAGAAATATCAGGGCAGGGCAGTGTTGTTGCACAGCGAGTAAGACCACCACCCGCAAGGCCAGTGTCCCACACCGTGCCAGTGCAAGCCCCAGCTGCTCCGCTTCTGATCCAGCTCCCTGCCAACGACCTTTCAAAGGCAGAAGATGCCAAGTGTGTGGGCCCTTGTGATCCTCACAGGAGACTTAGAACAAGCTCCTGCCGCTGGCTTCAGCCTGCTTCAGCCTTTGGCCGTTGCAGCCACTTCAGGAACGAAGCAGCAGATGGAAGATTCTGTCTCTGTATCTCTCTCTCCCAGTCCCTTCCTTTCTCTCTTCCACCCTCCCTCTCTCCCTGTTAACTCTTTCAAATAAATAAATACATCTTTAAAACATATATTAGGGTCAAAAAAATATTGGTATAAACAAGTACTAGTAACAGAATGAAGTGGGTTAGTGTCTCCCATACCTAACAGGCATCAATATTCCTCTTTCTGTACTACAAGCTAGAAATTTTATTCCAGGGAGAACTGAAACATAACCTCACACAAACATATGTGCGCACACATGCACCTACACACACACACACAAAGATAGCTTTCCATCTCAGTGGCCTCGTCTTCACCTAACTTGCACTGCAGAAAAACACTAATATCTTCAAAATCACACAAATTTATTACAAATGTGTTGCCTAAGGAAGACCCTGCACCAGAGATAGCAAAGGACATTGTGAGCACAGTTTCAAATTCAGTCTCAAGCGATTAATTCTGAGTTAATGCATTTTGCAAATATCATCATACCCCATATAAACAGGCACAACGTCAGCAGATAGTGGAAGTTCAATAAATATCTATTTGTTGAGAAAGAAACCAGAGCCAAGGGGGGAAAAAATAGGCAGAGAAGAAAAGGCCAGCAGACAAACACCGCAAAGTGGAAACGCCAACTTGAAGAGCTGACAGTCAAAGCCACAAGAACAGGGGCTTGATCTCATTCAGAGTTCTATGCCAGGCATCTTGGTTGATGTCTAACACACAGCAAGCTGTCTGTAAGTATACGTGGAACGGATAGAAGGGTCAAAGACTAACGCGGTGGATGCCTTTGGAAGGCACATGCCCACTGCCAACCAAGGACTTCCCACTCATCGTGTAGCTGAGCTGCCCACACAGAGGCCAGGGAGCCCCCAGCCTGTCTGCACTGAGCCACCCCATCACTCTTCATGGCTTTCGGTTCAGGCCAGACTACTATGAGTCTCTGCTGGGAACTTGAACAGAAAAAGAGCAGAGGCCACCTCCGCCTGTGGCTGCCAGTGCACATAGGACACACGTCCTCGACCCCCTAGACGACCATCTTTGGAACGGCCATCCTCCAGGACCCAATGAACCAGGAGGCAGAGGAAGCGCTTCTCCTGCAACAAAGTAGCAGCAGGAGAGTCCCTAAAGTATTCTGAGTTCCAGGCCCTAGGCTCTTCTCAATCCCAGCTGCTTTCTGGGTTCCATAAGCAACCCCTGAACATTCTATAAATTATTCATAACCAAGTATCTCAACTAACACAGCATAGGAACACAAAGAATCTAGTTTGCCCTAGTAAAATAGAACATTAAGAGGGCCCGGCACAGTAGCCTAGTGGCTAAAGTCCTCCCTTTGCATGCACTAGGATGCCATATGAGTACCAGTCCATATCCCGGCAGCCCCACTTCCCATCCAGGTCCCTGCTTGTGGTCTGGGAAAGCAGTCAAGGATGGCGCATGGCCTTGGGACCCTGCACCTGCATGGGGGACCCAGAAGAAGCTCCTGGCTTTGGATCAGCTCGGCGGATGGAAGATCTCTGTCTTTCCTCCTCTCTGTATATCTGACTTTCCATTAAAAATAAAATAAATCTTTAAAAAAGAAAATCAAGGAAGGTTAAGGATAAGGGACAAACTTTTTGATCACCCAGGATGCTGAAGTTGTTGAAGCCACTGGCACAGGCGTCGGGTCCCCGCCCACACCCGGAGGGGCCAGAGCCAGCATAGGATCCACCAGAGGACACAGCTGGGCCAGCTGGTGTGGACGA